TGTTATATCTTCTGTCATTATTCAAATCTGTCTCTATCCTTATAGCAAAGACTTCAGAACAAGATGTTACTCTTTTCTAATTCCCTAATCTGACAACCACAGAACATTATTTTTTGCATAGAAAAATAACAGAGTACGATACAAGCTGGATATTAGACCAAGTGCTAATATTAGAAGTGGAATTAATATAATAAGGGCAGTAAGTGTTCAAAACAACAAAGAACAAGCAGTAAAATAAATAAACAAAAAGTTCAGTGTCCTTGTACTACTCTATCCCGTACAAAATCCCATGGGAGGAATCACACAGTCATTATTCATAAGTAACAATTAAATTGGTAGTGAAATATGTAACTTTCATTCAATGATATGGTATCTGGCAGAAATCTCGACTTGTTGAAGTAGAACAATAAAATTTAAAAAATAAATCATGTTTATTTTTGAAATTGTGAAAAGTGTTTTTGAGTGTGGCTTACCATTGTTCTTGGCACCACTGGGGTTAGGCATATTGGAAATCTGCACTCCAAATTAGGTTATGGCTAACTGCACTCCATCTTCATTTTCAGTTAGAGCAAAGACTGGTAGAACAAACAAACTCACTGTTTGTCGGGGTCACGGCTTATGAGTTTAGACTAGGGTTTTTTGTATTTCAGACACTAAGGCTTGCAATGATAATATTCTCAGCTATGTGGGGTTATTGTCCATACAAAAAAAATAAACTCTATACTGCAGTAAACTCATCTAAAGGAACCCTTCAAGCACCATATCCATAACATAACAGAGCACACTAGTGGGTATGGGTCAGAAATGCCCTCTAACCCCGTTTAAATAGTCTAACCATTATCTTATAGTTTGATATCTTACCATGAGTCCACCAAGCACCAGTCGCTGCCTCCTCACTGCCAAAAACTCTCTTTATTGAGTAAGAACTGGCAGTGCAGGACTTAGCTTACTGGCTGAGGGCAATAAGCTACTGCACTCAGCCTATGAGCTTAGCTTATATAACAGAACCTCCCAACAGCAGTATCTGGTCTCCAGCTGTGAGAAGTCAGGGAGTACAGCCCAGCAGACCACAAGTAAGAAGTAATACTGTTGGCAAACAGTTTGACCACTTACACTGGTGAAGTGCCAGGGCAATCCTGGCACCATAACCAGTGTGTATAGTGCTTGAAGTGTTCCTTTAATACTAGCACTGTTGCTGAGTACTCACCAAACTCTCAAACACAGAGAGCAAGCTGTTGGCATGAGGTTTGATTATATTTAATTGATACAATGCTTATTGTTAGAGCCTGATAATTGAAACACATTTTCTGCAATCTCTGTGTGTTACAACAAGTAAATGTTGGCTGATCTATATACTTTTTGTAAATGAATAGAGGTGCACTTTATAATACAAGCATCTTTATGTTTCGTACTCTTTATGTTTTCGTACAAGTAAATGTTGGCTGATCTATACACTTTTTGTAAATGAATAGAGGTGCACTTTATAATACAAGCATCTTTATGTTTCGTACTTGGGCAATAATAGCAGGTCATGTACTATTGTCATTAACTGACTAATACAAATAGGAGCTTTCATTTTAGAATTGTGATTATTATTTGCACAGCTGTCATTATTTGCAAAAACTAATATATTCACAGTGTTATAAAATAAAAGCTACAAAATAAATAGGAACTCATATACTCAAAGCTAATTACCGTGACAAATAAGAAAGCTCAAATGGAAGAAGTTCAAGCTTGATTCAGCTTCCTGTTTTAATTTATTTTATCACCCTTGACCCCAATACCATTTCATTTAGATGCAATTATTTTTGAAAGCTTCTCTTAAGATAAAAATTGTTATCTCATTTTGAGACATCAGTTAATAAGATCCACTGTAAAAGGCATTCCAAAATACTAAACTAGATGAAATTTCACAAGTCTGGACTTTCTTTTTCATTTTTCATCTAGTGATCACATTTACTTTGTATGTGTCAGCTACTTTCCTACTGTTTTTACGATGTACAAGAAGACAAGTCTAATTGGCTATATGTAATCTCAGCACCAATAGTACACTTATTTAGCTATTAAGTGGTTTACAGTGCTATGTAAAACATACTGGGCTTATGAAAGAAGAATCCAAGTGCTGACTTAAGAGTAAAATACAGTTAAATTGTTGGTAGATATTTTTATCTGGTTGTTATGCAATATAGCTGACAATTTTGATCTGCTTAGTCTAATGATGACACAAATATTTCAAAACGTAAAAACTAGGTGTGGCAAATGACAAAGGGTAATTAAGAATACAGGGCTAAGACCCTGTGGGACTTTCAGATTCAGATGTCACTACCTCCTCTCCTTGAACCTCACTATGCCTTAGGAGAGACCTTCTCCCCTGAAATCTGCCACTGGGGAGGGAGGAAGTCTACTTAGAGCTTGTGCTGCTGTTCTTTCTGTTACTGGGGATAGAGGTCGACAACATTCTCTCCCTGGCTCTGATTCTACCGGTGAGGTACTACTTCCTTTCCTTCTACTTTGGTAATGCCCATTACAACTGCCTCAATAGGCAGTCTTCATAGTCTGTAGGTCTCGTATTGTGTTGCAGCATTCACGTTTTTTAATACCCACAGTTTGGAGCTCAAAAGAAGCTCCCATGGCCCCTCCTCTTGTCTGGAGACGATGGCCACCGTTTGCTGTATTTCGGCATCAGAGGGATTGCGCCCATAGATTGCTAATATCTGCTGAACCCTCTGCCTCCTCTATCTGGGTCCAAGTGGCGGTTCGCAGTTTGTCTAAGCAGAGCTTCTGTCACAGCTCCTCTCAAATGGCAATGTTGTGCCCTCACAAGTTAAGCCTCTCCTGCACTCATGTCTGGCAGGTCTGTTCCTTTGTCTTGGCCATATCAACATTGTACCTCTGGTCCCATAAATTAAGAAGCATCCTGCCACTTGCTACCAATTTTAACGGAGCTCCTGTAATTTGGCTAGATCAGCTTCTCCGCTTCTACCATGAGGCTCTCAAGCACTTCAGACCCAGTCGCTGAAACTGGACTGGGGTTACTGGGGAACTCTTATAGCTCTCCTTCCAGGCAGGTATCGTACCCTCTGCCTTTGCCTCTTCTATTATCTCCTAGGCAGGTATTGACCAATCTTCCTGCTCTGACTCAGACAACTGCATTTCCAAAGGCACAAGAAACATCTGGGAAACCATAAGAGATGTCAGACATACAAAACAGACAGTTCCATAACTTCCAATTTGAATATAATATAGCAGGAATGTGGAACTGCACTAAAACCTATTTAAAATGTATCCAGGTGCACCAGACTTTGGGGCTCAGCGCCCCTAGAAGGGAAGGGGTTACAGGGTTAAAACCTACATGGCTAGTTAGCCCCAGGTCCCATCTGGGTATTCCTGCAAAAAGCAGGGCAATCAGATGTACAGAGCCTGAAGTCTGGGGCTCAAGGCTCTGTACATCCCCGAAATTAGTTCTATGGTGTTGATTGGTTTAGTCTGGCGAATTCAAACTTCGCGCCCAAACCAAGCAACAACAAATTAGCCGAAAGGGCACGAACCAAATCGGGCCAATCAGCATTCAGGGGAAGAAGGCGTTTCTCCACCCAATACGAAGAAAGGGCGCAAAACTCAGCGGCACCAATCAGTACCCAGGGACAAGGGGGGTTTCACCGTCCAATCAGAAGAAAGGGCGCAAAACCCCGTTTGAACAAGCGCTCCTTCTCTGATTGGTCGCCCACTCCCTGCGGAGACCAATCGGAGCTTTACTCGTGCTGACCAACCAGGAGAATGGCGCGAACCCAGTTTGAATGGGCGCTTCTTCTCCCATTGGTCGGCACAGACTTCCATGTGGCCAGCAGGAACCCTGTGGCTGTGAGAATGACTCACAGCCCCAGGGACTCCCTGTTGGAGCACATCCCTCTCTCCGGTGGATACCCAGACTCAGGCATCGTAGCCTCATATCTTCCATGTAGGGGACAAGGGACAAGTGATTACAGCTCCCTTGGGAGCAGGTAGGATGGTCCCCGACAAGGGGACTGAAGACAGGGCACACGGGGCAGTTCAGCATACGAATGATGCCTCCTGGTGGCGTTCGGCTATACGAACCGGTGGGCACCCAAGGGCAGCATGCACCGCTAGCGAGGTGTGAACATTCTAACCAAACATTCTAAATGGTATATTGGGGTGGTCTGGTGCATGAATACAAAGGGAAACATATATTCAATAAGGGAAAATCATCACAATATACATTGGGGACAAAAAACATAAAACCAAACATCGGAATACTCAGTGGGCATGGTACTTAGTGGTGGTGTCCCGCCCAAGTGGTGTACAAAAATTCCCAAGTCATTCTCATTTGTTGTTGTCCCTAATTCGCTTCCATTAAGGGTATAAGTTGCTTGTGCATTCTTTATGCCGACGTGCATAACTTTGCATTTTTCTACATTAAATTTCATCTGCCATTTGAGTGCCCAGTTTCCCAGTTTATCTAAATCCCTCTGCAGCAAAGTAATATCTTGCTCACATTGTATTACTTTACAGAGTTTTGTGTCATCTGCAAACACTGAAACATTACTTTAAATGCTTTTTTCAAGATTTATAAACCTGTTAAAAAGAAAGGGTCCCAAAACAGAGCCCTGAGGGGTTCCATTAACCCCTTAAGGACCAAACTTCTGGAATAAAAGGAATCATGACATACTCTCCTATTGATAGAGTCCACCATACATTTTCATCCTCACCTGTACTAGAGGGGCTGTTCCCTCGGCTGTTAGTAGGAACAGCTTCCTCTAGTACAGCTACTCCTGAGCTGATGCTCCCAACATCTTCACTCAAATGGGCAAATCTGCTAAACTGATTTGTAACTATCCAATCTGGACATTCCCCACAGCTTTTTTTTAATAAACTACACTTGATGGTTTGCAGTACAAAGACTACTTTGTACTGCTCTATACCAAATCTCCCTAACTCTGGCTTACAAAAATCTGAACATATTTATATGAATCTATATCCAACTGAAATGGAAAAATCAATTAAAAGTATTGATTATTTCTTTGTGTATCTGCCCCTGGCCAAATCAATGAAACAGTGCGTGCACGCTCCCTGAAGTAATTCACACCAGACACAGGTTCCAGGTTGTTGAATAACTTGAGGAATGTTTATTCAGAGGGGACGGCAGGTCCCTTTTAAAGCAAAATTACATCATAAGCATTGTCAGAGATAACATGGAATAATACATCAATTATTGGTTAGGTGTTAAGTGGTTGCTCTAATGTTCTGCCTACTGTAGGTGATGTCACCGGGACCATGAGGGTCTCCCACGGTTTCCCGGCGCCATCTTGGTGCACGAGGTAGTTAGTCGATGTTAGGAAGGAGAAAGGGAAGGGGGGGGGGGAAAGGAGCAAGAAGCTTCTAGCAGCCATCTTAATTATAACGTGTGTGCTTAACTATATATATATATATCGTGAAATGAGTAAATAGACATTTTTCACTAACTAGGAAATATGTGTAGACCTTATTTCCACAACAGTCCCCCCTAAAATGGCTATTTACCATAACAACTGCTACTGTCCCTAATATGTCCCTAGTTGCCTGCAACCTATCTGCCTTAACTAGCATCGAACACTTCACTCCGCGGGTAACCCGCAGTGGCTAGTCCACTACATCTCCACACGTGAGACTCGCCAGTTAAGACAGACGCTTTCCCTATACTGTCCCTACAGGAAAGCAGTTGTTTGTTTGAACTGATGTGATTGAAGGGGTGTATGTGGGGTATCATCTTCGAGGTCTGTGATGTCTTGGTGTATGAAAGTAGGGGTCACGTCATCTATAGTCTTGTCCACCGCTTTCTGTAGATACTTCTGTATGCAGGGGAATATGCAACAGGTCAGAAATAAGAAAATAACGATCATTATGAGAACAGCTGTCCCCACCTGGAAGAGGGTCCTTTGCCAACCATTCATCCATCCAAACCATCTGTCCCAAGTGTCGATGACTCCTGAATTTTTCTTTAGCTCGTCTGCAAGACTATCTAACTTCTCTATGGCCATAGTCACCTTACCATTGGGCCCAGTGTTGTCTGGAATGTATGTGCAGCATGTCATGGTCTCAGGGAGGATTTTACATACACCCCCTTTCTCAGCTAAAATCATATCTAGGGCCATTCTGTTCTGAAATGTCATTTGGGTAGTGGCTTGTAGTTGCTCTGCCAGGCCCTGTAGGGCATCCCTAGTGTAGTTGACAAAACGCTGTTGATTATAGTAAATATAGTTAATCCAATTGACATTTTTGTTAACAGTTATCATTGGAATTAGGGACTCAAATCCCGCAGCCACTTCATCTCTTGCTTTGAATTCGTTAGGCACCCCCCTTGGCACACCTATGGCATCAATATACACATGGGGGTCGAAACTCCCTCGAATAGGAGTCTCTCGTTTGATTCTAGAGTGTGCATGTGTGAGGTTTAACGTGTTATGATCACCATCTGGAATGATATGGATAGGCATTATGACTTTGGTTAGGGCACACTCCCCCCACCATTGCCCAATTAATTGGGACCTCAATTGTTTATCCCCACATAACCAATAGATATCGCCGATTGTCTTTGTGTGGTTCATTAACAGTGATACAGGTGGATTATGGTAAGTTGAGCAATATCCTGATGGGAATTTGCCCAGATACAAACCGGTGTTCTTAGATATTGTATAACATGTGTAATTACCTGGGTAGATGGTGACTCCATCAGGTGGTTTTACATGTCCGTGAGTGATCGGGTAAATTCTCTTCCACGATTCACATGTCGAGGAATTGGTGACGGACTGTGTGTAAAGGCTCAGAACACATGATTCTACTTCAGGAGGTAAATTCAGAGGAACTGTGCCCAGATGGGGCCTGGCTCCCCCACACACGTAACAATTGGTCTTATTGTGTGAGTTGGCATTATACCTCATCCATTCTAGCCATAAATTAGTGTCTGAAAAACCAGTTTCCACTGCCATAGTGTCTTCAAAGGTGGGGTTGGCTATAGCTACCATGTCATGTAGGGTCTTAATATGTGGTTTTAACGGGTTAACGATCATGTGAGTGGTCCCCACCCAGTCGGGGGAGGTGAGCATGTCTTGTAGGTAGAATGTCCCCAGTGCATTGTGTGAGCCACCTCCCTTCCAGTACATCCCCATCACATATTCCCCCGCGTCCCTTGGACTAGGGTGTTCTATATTCAAGGTAAGTTTAATGGGAGTTGACCCTGTGGGTTTACTAAGAGTCATTCTAGAAAGTAGGGGCTTCCCGTCTTTGTCAAGTCTGTCTAGTGCAACCTGAGGTCTGTAGCCCCATGGTCTACCTGTATTCCACCCGGCAGCTTTCCATGAACTACAGTGGTGTCCCCAAGCTCCTCCAGTCACACAAATGTATGGGTCCTTTTTGTTAGGTATGTCCTTGTATATGGCTGCATGTTGTGTCTGTGGGAATGTACAGGTAACTATGTCACAGTAATCAAAGGTGTATGTAGCTACATCAGTATCAGAAGAATTGTACCAGAAAGTGTAAACATGATTATCTTTGGTTATGGCCACTTGTTGGGCCCAGGCAAAATGCAACAATATAAGAAAACACAAGACACATAATAAATTCATGTTTCAACAAGATCAGCTTCTTCCTGGAGCAGGCACTTTTTTGCAATGTGAAGCGTGTATCCAGGAACTTTTTCCAGCTAGTTTAACTGACGTTGCTGTAATCAGGAGCACTTGATAAGGACCATCAAATCTCGGTTCTAGGGTGTGTTTCCTGAGGAACTTCTTAACCATAACCCAATCACCCGGAAGCAGCTTGTGTGTACCTGTATTCGACTCAGGATCTGGAATAGAAGAAAACACTTGGGCATGTATCTTGGTCAAGGCATGTGAAAGGGCAGTCACATAGTCTACCATAGCGTCTGACTGAATCTGAAGCTGTTGGGGAAAGTAGCAACCTAACCTGGGTGCTGTACCAAACAAAATCTCATAAGGTGACAAACTGTGTTTTCCTCTGGGAGTGTACCTTACACTGAATAACGCTAGTGGAAGACTCTCGGGCCAGGGCATGTTAGTTTCTTGTGACATTTTAAGCATTCTGGCTTTCAAAGTGCCATTCATGCGCTCTACCTTACCACTACTCTGTGGGTGATATGGTGTGTGGAATGCAAGGGTCACCCCCAGTGCTGACCAGACTTCCCGTGTTAGCGAGGCAGTGAAGGAGGTCCCTTGGTCACTTTCAATTACTTCTGGAACCCCATAGCGGCAAACAATTTCTGTCAAGAGATATTTGGCTGTAGTCCTCGCGGTGAGATTAGTCACTGGGAAGGCCTCTGGCCATCCTGAAAACATGTCCACTATGACCAATGCATATTCATAACGTCCACTCTTTGGCATCTGAATGTGATCAATCTGGATCCTCTGGAAGGGATATTGCGGCTTGGCTAGGTGATTAGGTGCAGTCTTTATAATCTTTCCAGGATTGCATTTAGCACATATAGTACATGACTTACAGTAATTCTGTGTTAAGGTGGTGATGCCTGGTGCTTCGAAATATTTGTCAATCAGTGAATTCATCAGGAGTTTTGACAGATGAGCTGGCCCATGGGCCCATTGGACCACCGCTGGGTACATACTTCTAGGTAGGCAGAACTTGAGATTAATGGTGTAAACATCATCACGGAGTATAGCTCCTTTGTTCTTCCAACCTTGTTTCTCTTGGGGAGTAGCAGCAGCTTGCTGTTCCTTCAGAAGCCTGAGGTCTGTAGGCAATGTTTGCATAGTATAGATAGGCAGTGTATCTGTGGCCACTCTTCTGTCCACTTCCCATCTTTGCCGTGCTGCTTCTTTAGCTGCTTGATCAGCCAGGTGATTGCCACGTGCTTCTTCTGTGTCTAGTCTTCCATGGGCTTTTACCTTCAGTACTGCCACCTCAGCTGGAAGTTCCAATGCGTCCATCAGCTCTGCAATGGCTGCCCCATGCTTTACTGGGGTACCAGTGGCCGTAAGAAATCCTCTGGTCTTCCAAATTAAGCCAAAATCATGTGCTACTCCCAAGGCATATCTTGAATCCGTGTAAATGTTGACACGCAACCCTTCAGACAATTTGCAAGCCACAGTTAGGGCTGTCAATTCAGCTTCTTGAGCAGACTTATTTGGTTGTAGGGCAGCTGCTTGTAACACTTGACATTCTGTGGTAACTGCATACCCAGTGTGATATTGCCCTTGTTCATCAGCAAATCTTGACCCATCCACAAATAATGTTTGGTCCGGGTTGAGTAGTGCAGCTTCATAGACAGTTGGTAGATGTGTAGTTTCCATTTTCATTTGTTCAAAGCAATCATGAGGGATATCGTGGTCACAGTCTGTGGTGAGTGGATCCTCACAGGCTTCTGTATGGTACCTGGGGTACCCAGTTGTACAGTAATTAATAGTCTTTTTGTTGATTCTCGTAGAAGTCAGTTGTTCTGGGGTCATTTGACTCCAGGTTTTGGCCATCGGGCCTAGGTCTTTCCACGAGATGTCGGGGGGTCTGGTGAGAGATATGTGTGGGATCGATGTTTCCCAATGGTGATAGAGATGTGTCACACTCTCTGGGAGGTGGACCAAGATAAGCATGGTACCTGTGAGGTCCCAAAACAAGTCAGTCAGGGTAATTTGGATTTCTTTGAGTTGGAATACTTCTGCCTCGTAATTCATATCAGGGCCTGGTTCATCCCTAATCCACAAAGTGCAATGAAGTAGGGCCATTGATTGTTCATCATGTGGAGGTGCAAGTGCAGGTAGTTGCAGATTTGTTAGAACTTCCGGGTTGATATCCAGGCTGTACCAGTGGTACACAATTCCCCCCTTGGGAAGTGGCAGAAGAGTGGCCGGGTTCAGGGTTAGGCATCTCTGAAGTTTTATGTTATCAGGTAAAAGCAATGAGGTTTGCAGGCGGAGGTGGCGTTGGGAGGAAAGGTGCTTGGGTTGAACTTGTTGCAGGATAGCAGTAATGTCATGGGGGGCCAACACGGTAAGGTGATGGCCAAGCACAAAGTCATTAGTCTTGTCCAGGAGGGCACTGGCGGCAAACACAGCACGGAGGCAAGAGGGGCTGCCCCTTGCAACAGGGTCAAGTATACAGGAAAAATAGCCAATGGGCCGTTGTCTGGACCCATGTTTCTGAGTAAGGACTCCGGAAGCATGTCCTGATTTTTCAGAGACAAACAAATTGAAAGAGAGTTGATAGTTGGGTAGGCCCAAGGCAGGAGCAGAGGCAATAGCTCTTTTCAGAGTATGGAAACAGTCAATAGTTTCTTCAGTGAGGTGAAAGGGCTCACTTCGAAGTGCATCATAGAGAGGTTGCATGAGTTTGGATGCTTCAGGTATCCAAGACCTGCAGTATGTTATGAGACCCAAGAAAGCATGAAGAGAGTGATGGGTTGTAGGTAATGGGAGTTGCAGGATAGCTTGCACCCGTTGTGAGGTTAGATGTTTGGTGCCATGGGAAAGGCAGTGTCCCAAGAAGACCACAGAGGGCCGGCACCATTGTAGCTTTGATTTTGAGGCCTTGCACCCGGCAGCAGCGAGGAAACATAAGAGATCTTCTGAGTCACGTTCTGCAATTAGCAAATTAGGAGCACAGAGTAGAAGGTCATCAACATATTGTAGTAAAACAACATCGAGATGTGATTTCTGCCAGGGATCCAGAACCAGAGACATGGCATGAGCAAACTGTGTTGGGGAGTTCTGCGCTCCCTGGGGCATAACAGTCCAAGTATATTGTTGTCCTTCATGTGTGAAGGCGAAGAGAAAACGGCAGGAGGGATCAAGGGGAACACTGAAAAAGGCATTAGCCAGATCCACAACAGTAAAAATTGTTGAAGTTGGTGGCACTTGGGACAAAAGGGTATGAGGGTTTGGAACAATAGCAGTGTCCTTTATGGTTACCTCGTTAACAGCACGGAGGTCCTGTACCATACGGTATTGGTCGGGTTGGCCCTTAACAGTTCGCTTTTTAACAGGGAAGAGAGGGGTGTTGCATGGAGATGTACACTTGGTGAGGGCACCTTTTGCAAGCAGGGTCTCAACTTGCTTGGTGATGGCTTCAGCTTGTGCTGGCTTCAGAGGATACTGAGGTCTACGAGGGGGGAGTGCACCAGGCAGGAGCTGGACCAGGACTGGGGGTACATGTAAGCGTCCAATATCATCCGGGCCGGTGGACCAAAGTTCTTGGGGGATACGATCCAGGGCACTGGGGGTGTGTGTGACCCGTGCATTCCCTGTATTGTCAGTTAGATTCAACAAAATTGGGAGTGAGCAGAGTACAGAAGTATCTTTCTGCGATAAGGGGGTTGTCAACTCAACCTGTCCATCAGCAGTAAAGGTAATGGAAGCCTGGAGCCGAGAGAGAACATCGGCACCTAGGAGGTTAATGGGGCAGGTGGAGGAAACAACAAAACGGGACAGGATATGTGAGCCTACATGTAAGAGCTTGGTGAGGGGGTTACTGCGTGGTGTACCATCCACCCCAACACAGGAGACATCAGTGTCAGATAGGAAGGAAGGGTCTGGCAGGTCTTGTTCCCTAAGGACACTACGGGCTGCACCTGTGTCAACTAAAAAGGTGGTTGGGTGACCCTCCACGGGGAGAACTACAGTAGCTAAAGGTCCTCCTCCATCCCCCGCAGACACTGCCATGGCGGGGGTTGCTGACACAGGCTTGCCAGTTACCTATTGTAATAAATCTAGGTGGGCTTGATCCGGTCCCTGGTACCGGCGGGAGGTGGAGGGAGGGTTAGCAGTATGCATAGGTGGGCGGGATGGACGGAGGGCATGGCGGGGATGAGGTGGGTTGTCTTGGAGGTCATCAGTATCATACCCTTCAACGGAGGGCGAGGTGTATGCACGGGCTTCTGCTGCGGGGAGCCGGGCTTGGGAATACTCAGGAGGCGTAGGGGGAGGAGGTGGAGGAGGTAACTGAGGCAACTGTGGATGGGGTAGGGCAGGGAGGTAACCAGTGGAGGGGAAACTGTAACTGGTGACATGTGGATTTTGGTACCGGGGAGTCTGCTGGCGGAACACTCTAGGGTGTGGGCAATCTCTTCTAAAGTGACCTGGCTGATTACAATTAAAGCAGGTCCGGATTGTCGTGACAGACCGATCACGGGAGAAAGGGATTGGTGCAGGCAGTGTCTGGGGGGGCTGGGTGTACTGTTGGGGAAACATCTGAGGACCCTGGCTTGGACCAGCGAATGGGGTGGAGGTAGCATACATCAGAGGACTGGGTCTACGTTGTGTAGGTAGCAAAACAGATTCTAAGCCCTTGGCAACTAGCAAAAGAGTGTCCAGTGGAATAATTCTATACTCAGGCCGAGCTAAGATTAACCCCTTACGGATGTGTTCTCTAAGCCCTGCCACAAAGGCTGCAGATAGCATCTGGGTGTGTGCTTTGTTGTAAGTACTAAACCCTAAGTCTGAGAAAGTCTGAGTCAACCTAGAGTGATACTTCTCAACTGTCTCAAGTTTGTCCTGTATAATGTCATTAATGCAAGTAGCCTGATCTGCTAGTTTATCCTGTGCCCAAGCTCGAAGCTGTTCACAAAAGACTTCACCAGAACGAAAGTCAGTATCAGAAGTAAGTGGAGCTTCATTAAAACTCCGTTCCATGATTGGCCAGTATGCATCACCGGCTTTGATTTCACATAGACTAATAAGATCCCGCCAAGCAGCGGAGTACGTTTTACGGATCTGAGCCATCCGGCGGAAAAAGGGAATAGGGTGTTTTTCAGGATCGGGGAGTGAGGTCACAAGGGTAGCAGCTTGGGAAGGGTTAAAGGTAACATACATAGGCGGTGCTCCATCCGCACCATGGTTGATCGGGATGTAACCTTGAGGGATAGTGTGCTGTTGGGGGAGCCTATTCACCCCCACCTGGGGCGAATTCTGGTCAACCGCAACAACCTCTTCGGGCAACACTGGGCCACGGCGGAGGGTAGCCTCAGGGGTAGCTGTAGCGGGGACAACAGGGAGGGCCGTGGTAGGTAAGGTAACTGGGTGGAAACCCGAAGCCTGGGGGGAGGCACCCATTGCATAGGGCTGGTCAGATGTCCCAGACACCTCGGATCCAACCACCATGATTGGGTAACTTGGACTGGCGGAAGGGACACGAGGGACCAGAGCCGTGGAAGGGGCTGTCACAGGGGCCGGGTGGGTTGGGCGTGAAAGGTGTGTATTTAGGACATGTGCAAGGGCGGAGATTGGATCGGGGACTTCGGCAGGAGACAAGGGTGGGGTCGGAGGTTCGGGGGGAGGAGGAGGAGGAGGAGGAGGTACGTCAATGGGAGGTGGTACGGGGGTCGCGGAAGTAACTAGGGAAGTAACAGCAGTGAAGAGGGCGGATATTGAGCCGGACAGGTCATTGGTCATGTGTGTGTCAGGGGTCATGGGGGAAAGGGTCGGAGGGACGGGACCAAGGGCCTGTGTCAGGGTCGGGGGGGCAGGGATGTCGGGGGGTGGTAACAGGGGAAAAGAGGCCGGGGGGATTGCGACGGGAGGCTGGGTTAGGGTGCTGAGGGCGGAGATTAGGGACGGCAAATCGGCCGCGGGAGTAGGAGGCAACAAGGCAGAGGGGGCTGGGGTTTCAGGAGGAGGTAACGCTGGAGGAGGAGTAAGAGGGGTGACGGCAATGGGTTGGGTTAGGGCGGTGAGGGCGGAGATTAGGGACGGCAAATCGGCCGCGGGAGTAGGAGGCAACAGGGCAGAGGGGGCTGGGGTTTCAGGAGGAGGTAACGCTGGAGGAGGAGTAAGAGGGTCCTTGAGGATGGGAGGGGTAACTGTGGATAGGGGGCCGGAGGTAAAGGAACCGGGACTAACGGGCTGAACAAGATTCATGAGAGCGGAGAGTAGGGACGGGGGATCTTTGGAAGATGAGGAGGAGGAGGAGAGGAGATGAGAAGGGGTGGGGGACAATGGAGGTGCAGGGCTGGGGGTCACAGGGTTTCCTGAGGATACCGGGGAGGGAGAGTCGACCGGGGGACAGGGGTCCGGGGAGACAGGGTCGGTTGGGTAGGTAGGAGCGGGGGGTGTAGGACGTAGGACGGACGGAGAGGGAGAAGGAGCGGGGACTACTAGGGAAGGGGTACTCAAAGTGGAGAGGGACTGGGAGGAGGAGGGGGATGGAACTTCCATGGTCGAGGCGGGAATAGTCGGGGCAGTGCTCGGGGTGAGGACTGGCGCTGGGAAAGGTAACGGAGGGCATGGAGGTGGGGGGGCTCCGATGGACATGGCGGGATGATGGTTGAAAGAGGGGGTCTGGTCACAGGAGGGTTGGGGCATGGGAGTGGGTGGGAACGAGTGATGTGGCACTGGGAAATAGTAAGCTCCGTCTACACCGAGTACAGGACATAGGGGAGTGGGGGCTGTAGGCACACCCCCGGGGGGTGGGGTCTGAGCTGTGACGGGAGAAGCAGGGCGGGAATTTACTGTTGCGCTCTGGGCGCCATCATAGGGTGGTGGCCGTGGAACAATGGAAACAACATCATCATTGTGAACACTCCTATGGTAAACATGCACAATTTGTCCTTCAAATTCCAACTCTTCCTCGACCCATCCTTCCCGTTTCAAACCTCTGGCTACACGATACCAAGCCTCTGCAACCTTTGTCAGTCCGTTATCCAACAATAAACCTTCCTTATCTATGAGTAGCTTTCTCCAAAACTCCGGTTGCAATCTCCCACTGGGTAACATCTGAAAGCCACACACCTTGGCAATCTTTTTAAGTTTCATCATAGCATCTTCCCCTGCCCTTTCTTTCACAATATCACAAGCCAATAAACCTTTAGCAGGTCTAGCATGTTCCTGCCCCATCTTGACCAAACAAAACGTGCCACTCGTTAATGACAGATGGATAGAGGAGGTATAAGAAAGGAGGGGAGAAGGAGTGTCTACAGTGCTCGACTGCCACGAGAACTTGAGCCCCGTGCGTCTTCCCCAAACGTAGACTAGTCACGGAGATCCGCCCACCCAGGGTGGTGGTCACGGACGGGAGCGAATGAGCGTGGGTGACTAACACAGCTCTGGGCAACAGGCACAGGAGAGATAAAGCACAAAAGAAAAGATGAACGTAGCTGCGCTAATGAGAAGACATTTGCAAAAATCACAAACATATAAATGAGCATAGACTCCGGAGTCCAGAACTAACCACACAATACACACGCACACACCAAGGGTACCCACGCTGTAACAACAATTAAACAAGAACCACAGGATGACAGAGAGTAAAATGGCCATGTACATGTTAATGACACCAGTGCTGAATAAACGAAGTATAGCAATCCTCAGCCTTCACCCACCAGGCTGGTCCCAGTATAACACAAGTATTAATGAGAGCACAGTAATAAACAAACAAAATCCCAGCCCCACCGGCTGTAATGCGTTCCCTGCCCGCTAGGCAGTCAAGCTAACTTAAAATCCCAGCCCCTCCGGCTGTAAAATCCCAGCCCCACCGGCTGTAATGCGTTCCCTGCCCACTAGGCAGTCAAGCTAACTTAAAATCCCAGCCCCACCGGCTGTAATGCGTTCCCTGCCCGCTAGGCAGTCAAGCTAACTTAAAATCCCAGCCCCACCGGCTGTAAAATCCCAGCCCCACCGGCTGTAATGCGTTCCCTGCCCGCTAGGCAGTCAAGCTATCGTCTTTTAAAAAGGGGGAAAACACACTCCGGCCGACACTCACATTCAAACAAATACAGGAGGCAGATAGACAATCGACAGGTTCACCTTAAAAGGCACACCGGATGAGTTAATTACCTGTCTCTAGTAGCCTTCTGGAAGCCGGAAGTGGACTCGGAGACAGACCGACACAAAACAGGAGAATAACACAGGCAACGGCTGTATTATGGAGGTGATCAGGCTCCGCTTGTCCCACTTTCCGGAGGTCCGCTCCGGTCCGTTGGTTCCGGCCCTCCGAACCGGCCCTCCGGTGGCCCCACGTTGGGCGCCAATTGAAATGGAAAAATCAATTAAAAGTATTGATTATTTCTTTGTGTATCTGCCCCTGGCCAAATCAATGAAACAATGCGTGCACGCTCCCTGAAGTAATTCACACCAGACACAGGTTCCAGGTTGTTGAATAACTTGAGGAATGTTTATTCAGAGGGGACGGCAGGTCCCTTTTAAAGCAAAATTACATCATAAGCATTGTCAGAGATAACATGGAATAATACATCAATTATTGGTTAGGTGTTAAGTGGTTGCTCTAATGTTCTGCCTACTGTAGGTGATGTCACCGGGACCATGAGGGTCTCCCACGGTTTCCCGGCGCCATCTTGGTGCACGAGGTAGTTAGTCGATGTTAGGAAGGAGAAAGGGAAGGGGGGGGGGAAAGGAGCAAGAAGCTTCTAGCAGCCATCTTAATTATAACGTGTGTGCTTAACTATATATATATATATATCGTGAAATGAGTAAATAGACATTTTTCACTAACTAGGAAATATGTGTAGACCTTATTTCCACAACACCAACCAAGATATATTTAGTATATGACAAAAAAAAAGAAGAATTTTGCTTTCTTTTTGTTTGCTTTTTTGTCATTTATGGTTTCATTGGCAAAATTATACCTGGGTAATATATTATAATGTGTCTGGAATGCACAGGTTGAAAGCTACATAATCAGTCAGTGATAACATTAAAATGTTTTATGTCCTCTAAATTGTATCTGCTATCCTGATGAAAACACCAAGAAAAAAAGCAAATAATTGCTTTTGCAAATCAAAGCTACCAAAACAAATATAAACCATCGTCACTTAGGTGATAACATAATATGATCCATAGGTTTAAATCATAATATTGTTTGCAACTTTTGGCTAAAGTTCTGTAGAATTATTTTAGATATGTGTTTCTGTATGATCATAGTTTAACTAAACATAATTAAATTTTGCATAGTATCTTTCTGCTGCTGTAGGTACAATCATATTCATTACAAATATATCCATATAAATAGTTTATATCAGGCTTCCTCAAACTCCCCCCTCCAGATGTTGCTGAACTACAACTCCCATGATTCTATGAATGAAATAGATGGGTTGAGAATCATGTGAGTTGTAGTTCAGCAAAATCTGGAGGGCAGGCGTTTGGGGAAGCCCGGCTTATATCAACCCTATATCCTTCATTGAGAAAAATAATCCACAGATCAAAACAATAGCATTTTAAATTGCTCTCAGTTATTATTATTGTTATTTTTTTATTTATATAGTGCCAGTAAAATGCCATAGCGCTGTACAATGGGTGGACTAACAGACACGTAATTGTAACCAGACAAATGGATGCACAGGAACAGAAGGATTGAGGGCCCTGCTCAATGAGTTTACATGCTAGAGGGAGTGGAGTAGGGTATAAGTAGGGGTAATGAAATAGGTTGCTAGAAAAGTAATCAATGAGAACTTAGTAGGTTATTTTTGACAGTTGCAGGAGAGGAGTCATGGGGAGGTGGGATTTAAATGATATGCTTTCCTGAAGAAGTGTGTTTTCAAAGATTTTTTTGAAAGAGTGGAGACTGGGTGAAAATCTAACGGGGAAGGGAGTTCCATAGAAAAGTTGCAGCCCTGGAGAAGTCTTGAGTTGAGTCCAGATGTTAGCGGAAGCTCAAAGTATGAATTGTATTAATACTACAAATAATAAAATTAAATAGAAAAAGCTTAATATTCATGATTGTACACATATATATTCACTGCCTTATCTCTAGTTGCTTTTTCTATAATTGTTATTTTAAAGGTCGTAAAGGTAAACTAGAATAATTCACAACTCATTTCAATTCAACATATTTTTAAAAGGGACCTGTCATGTCCCAAACTACTTATGTTCATCAGATTGAGCATAACATTCTATTTATACATTGTGCTAGCTGTTTTGCTAGCAAATGTATAGATCAGGATAAAAATCGATTTAAAAATAGGCTTTTCTCCAAGCTGCTATACTGACAAGAGAGAACAGAAACTCCTCCCACAGGAGGTCCTTCTGCTCTCCTAAGCATAGTGACCACAGCGCATGTGCTGTGATTGCCATGGAAACTCTTTAGCCGGTGCTCCTAGCATTTTCTAGAGAGTATAGGAACAGAGTGACATGATGCCACTTAGTTTCAACGCTGACACAATGTCAACAAAGCCAGCGTGCTGACATTGAGGATGCAGCATCCCTATTCAGGGCAAATCAAAGAAGACTGAAGGCAGAGTGGACGACAGCCAGGATGACGGTGTTACAAGAAGAGTAACACACATGAATCTTGAAGATGGCGGAACGAAGGAGAGGTGAGTAAATCTCAATTAAATACATTGTTTATCTTTGTGATATATGATGTATTCAATGTATATGGGAGGAATTTTCAGGTAAGTTATTTTTTTCACAATAGGTTCACTTTAATTCTCCATACTACAAAATCCTTAAAGAGATTTTTGATGCAGTTGGTTTCTCAAAAGATTCTCTCTTATTTAGCACTTTTCCTCAGATTAGCACATGTTCTTGAATTGATAAATTAATGATTTGTTGATTTGTATACATCAATAAATTGCAAAAAATCTAATTATTAATTGCAAATTTTGACACAAGAAAATATGCAATGGATGAATACTTATAAAAAGCACATAAATCATACAAAACCAAATTATTGGGCATAACTATTAAACCTTTAAATATAGCAAATGACAATATTGAGGCTAAAATAGCCAAGCTGTAACAATAAATGTGTGGGATCATTTTCCAGCTAAGTTTTGACATTCATATTTCCATTCACTACTATTTGAGGTTTAGGGAATCTCCCTGTATATAAAGATATCAAGTGGAAACTAAAATAAACTGTTGTATATAGTAATGAGTAATTAATTTCTTCAGCATTGTTTTATGTGCAGTTTTAAGCTTATCTTGTTTGCACCGTAACCTTTTTTGCAGTAACTGTCAAGCAGCAAAGTTATTTTAGAATGCGTACAATTGACTTTAACAGAAAAGTGGTTTTAATTATATTCAGTACAGGTCCTTTAGACATTAGTCCTCTCCTGCCACTCCTACTAACAGAGTTAAATGTAAATCAATATGACTGTAGACATTTTAGATGCATTTGTGATTTCTTTTTGTTCTTTGTGGCTTTACAAAATTGGCTATGTTTGCAGTTCCAAGGATTAATGGGTATAATTTAGTATTGAGAAAAAAGCAGGATGTACAGCAAGCTTTATCATTTAGTAAAAAATGCCAAATGTAGCAATTTGTATGTACAATTGTATGCATGTATTGACTACTACTGTGTATGGGAACCTTAATTTCAAGGCAGTACAGGGACATACATGTCCTGATCTGGGGGTGAGGAGTGGACTGCCATCTGTTTCAGAAGCTATCTCTCAGAGCTCCTTCACACTGGTCCCCTTTCTCCCTTATTTGTGTGGCAACCATGATCTCTCTGGACAGTGTATCTTTTCTGACTAACCACTTCGTTGCTTGTTTTGGATATACTCTGGCTCTGGACTCCGCCTGGGTACAGGACAGTCTCTGCACATTTATCTTGAAAGTTGGCAGCCTCGCCTGATTTATTTGTGGTCATTGCACCTCTATTGCATTCCTCTGCTTGCCAGGTAGCTTTCACTTCCAGGTTTGAGGGAGGCCTGATGGGATATGTCCTCCTGGCTGAGAACCCAGTTTTGTGGGCTGGCCTTGCACCTAGTGGCTGCAGGATCAGACATTGCCCCAAGTAGTTGTGTGGCTGATGTGAAGGGGTCCACTGTGGAGTTTCCTGGTGCCCCATAGGGGGTCTGATGAAGCAACAGAGCTGTCAGAGACATGTTGCCTGAATCCTTTCGATGTTTGTGGTGCATCTTGACCTCCTCTGAGGGGACTGGGTGCTGCTTTAGGGTTTTGCAACCTATCCACAGTACTTGTACTGAAAATGTGGAGTTTGGCACTGATGGGGCACATTGGCCTTTTGGATTTTGATCCGTGGAGATACCACAAATTATATCTGCCTGGACATTTGAGTTATGTCA